AGATTCAAGGTACCACGCTATAATATTTGGGGATACTTTTCTCACTCCTGAGAATGAGGAGAGGAACTAAAAGTAATCGCCATGTCCACGTTGAGTGGCTATAAGACACATTCATGACTAGGCAAGAGAGAGAGCTTTGCCCTTCTAGAGACTGTCAATAAGAATGCTCAACACTATAAGAAATTGTTTTATTTTCTTTGTCTCTAGAAGCATGGAATAGTCATCTTGCAATACCTCATGGAGCTGGATGCACCAAGACCATGTAGGCTCAGGTCTCTTCTCAAAATAGCATGCTATTTGTCTGCAATTTATACACAGCCTCTGCTGGGTTGAGATCATCTCCAAATTCCTCATGAGGCTTGCATGCAAATGCTCTTTTGATGGTTATACTATATATGCATATATAGCTATATATATATATATATGTATAAACTAAATATATGTAGGTTAGAAAATAAACAAAAAGAGGATATAGACTTTTGTGAAGACACAATGTCCATCCTCCTTCCTTCCCTCTTTCCCTCCCTCCTTCTCCTCTCATTCCCCTCTTCCTGTCTGTCCATATTAATTTTTGTTGTTTTTTAAAGATTTATCTATTTATGTTTATTGGCGTATTGTCTGCAGGTACATTCACACACCTGAAGAGGGTACAGTTATAGACAGTTGTGAGCTGCAATGTCGGTGTTGGGAATTGAACTCAGGACCTCTGGAAGAATAGCCAGGGCTCTTAACCACTGAGCCATCTCTTCAGCCCTGTCCATATTAATTTTATTGTTCAGACTGGCCTCAAATTCATGATTCTCTACCCTGGGCCTCCTGAATAGAGGCAACAGGTTTAATATATTAAAATTACACTTTGAACATCAGTTGTTTGAACTCTCTGCTGGAGTGGGCTGACTGTACTCCAAGTGTGGAAGGTTGTTTAGAACAACATGTAAGTTAAAATTGAGAGGCAAATCTTTGGCTTTCTTGCTTTTCAGACACAATTAAATAGACTCCAGGTCTGTAGAGGCATGGGCAACTAACTCAGCTAATTGGTGACAACACTGAGATAGAACCCCTTTTTCTTCTTGGTCTCCAAACCATGAATCAATACCATTCTGACAACATCACCTCCCACTATGCTTCTTGTTTAACCAGTAATTCTGGCCCTCTGGTTATTTACGCATTATAACTGTTTTTGTTGTTGTTTTGCTTGTTTATTTTTTGGATTTTTGAGACATAGGGCTTCTCTGTGAAACAGTGCTGGCTGTCCTGGAACTCACTCTGTAGACCAGGCTGACCTCGAACTCACAGAGAACCACCTGCCTCTGCCTCCTGAGTATTGGGATTAAAGGCGTGCGCCACCATCTCCCGGCTGTTTTGTTTTTGAGATATGATACCTTGGGTGAGTTGTTACTGATAGTAATGTGTGAATTTTTCTAAGTCTCTATCACAATCATCTATTGTGAAACTTAACAAAGCTAACCAGCTAAATAGCCAGAACTTTGATAAAGAATCCTATAGTAGGAAAGCTTATTAAAAAGGCATGGCACAACATACCTGCAATCCCCTTCCTAAGGAGGTGGAGACAGTCAGCAGGTCAGGGTCACCCTCACCTACATAGCAAGCTCCAAGCCAGCCTGGGCTACATGAGATCCTGTGTCTAAAAATAAACAATCTAATTTCTATTAGAGTGCAACAATATTCTGCCCAATTGCTGTTTATTTCAGCTCGCCTTTGATAGTTTCCCAGCAAGAAATGCCTGTCTTTTAAATCTTCCCTTTCCAGTCCCAAATCATCTTTGCTTGGTCATTGCCTGCTTTGGGAACACCCGTCTGGGTTTAATCAGAAGTTACAAGACAAAATGTGCATTATTAAGAAATATAAATATTTTCAGAAGCAATTAAAGGGATGAAAGATTGATTCATCGTGTAGATTAGATGTAATTTGAAGCGGCTTGTCCTAATGAGAGCTACTGGGATCTAAAGTCAGGAGTTGGCCTGGCCACCAGTTAGAAACCCCAAGCAATGGAATAACCTGTCAGTGATTCTCATTCGAGATATGCCCAGACACTTCTTTTTTTCTTGCCAATCTCTGAGCTACAACTCCTTCCTTACTCCCCTTAGGGACTTGTAATAGTCACCTTTGAGAAATCATGACTAATTCTTTCTTCTCTTCAGCGTTTAGAAGGGAGCACATCCTTTTCACAATTCCGGAAGTTGGCTTAGCATTAACTTTCATAAGAACATTTTGGCCTGGAGGCGTCTGTATTACAATTTCTTTCTTGGCTTAATAAAAGGTATCACATTATCTACCTGGTCAATCTCTATTGGCTTTCAAAATTAGGACATGGAAAAACCTAATAAGCCTCATTAGGATATCTGCTTAAAAAAACAAAACAAACACACTCACACACACACACACACACACACACACACACACACACGACCAGGGTGCCTCATTTAGTGCATTACTTAAAACATCCCATCAGAGCTGGGTGGCCAGGGACTTGAATACAGGTATCCTAATTTGAAATCTTTGTTAGTCTGATAGTTCTGGGGAAAAAAAAGGGGGTGCGTAATATTTAGGTAGAATTTTAATACGCAAAGGATCAAAACCTGATTGTTGTATTTTGTTTTTATTTTCTTTCTTTCTTCCCTTTAATCCTACCTTTTGTCCTCATGTCTGTGTGTGAGAGATGGCTTGATTTTCTAGAGATGCTTCACCCATCCACAGCTGGAAGTCCAAAGAGGACCGAAAATGTCTTTAAAATCAACCCAAGTCCGGGAGCCTGAGAGAACAAGTTTTCCTTTGTTGTAGGGGATAGTATTATTTGCTGTAGGTTTTTTGATATACATTCTAAATTAGGCCTGCAAAGGCATGCTTCATCTTTAATTCATCACTCTCAGCTGAAAGAGATTAGCAATGTCTAGCACGCACCCCTCGTATGGTGCTGACCTCATCAAGTATGGCCTGAAATTAATTAGCCTCATTCATTCCAAATGGAGAAGGATAATGGAGCAGCGTCTAAGCGATGACCATCACACATTGTATGCAGCATATTTAAAAGGCCTCAATTTTCAAACCGTGTAGATTAAAATTCTTCCAGAGCTCACAATATGCTTGCATTATCAAGGACCTAGAACAGAGTCCAGTCGGTTTTGTGCATGCATGGTAGTGCATGTGGCTTGTATGTTGCATGGGTCCTTTGCCCGGGGTCTGTTAGCTATGTCTGCTTTCAGCTGGTTTGCTCTCCAGAATCACACCTGGGGTACTAGACCAGCAAAAACCTGACATTCAATCCTGTGTTAAACGATCTGGTAGCCCAGTCAGTACGCTAAGTGCATGTTTTTGATTGGCAGTCAGAAGGCAAGGGCAGAAGAAACACTGTAACTGTTTTCCACCAACATCCTAGATGGTGTCTAATTTGGACACAGAAAAGTTCCTTAAAGGGAAACTCAACTTTTCTATTTCAAGTTATTTTGGAGACTTTTCCCAGTCTTCACTGTTTTGATCATATTTTAAAACATGATCAAGGATCAAGTTAGAAGACCAAATCCCTTCAGTTTACCATCTTGCTAAGATTAGCTGATTTTTTTCCTCTTCTGGGGATTGACTAAGAGAGGCCAAATTTTTGAATATCAAAACTGCTTTCTTTTTGAGCCAAAAAAATCTTGACTCTCGAGTTCTTTGGGATCCTCAAAGACATTGTAAAGTTTATTTTTATGTGCAGTAGTTTGGGACCATAGATCAGAAGAAGTCAGAACCCGTGATTTTCATGTTTTCAGATTTTAATTTTTAAATAGTATGAAATCTAGTCAGCTTCTCAAAAGGTACCAGAAGTATTTTGGTGGCTGGGATCTTTATAGAGTGTACATTTCTTCAGAAAAGAATTATCCCAGAATAACTTTGGTGAAATTAAAAAAAAAATAGCTATTCAGTGTAATATAACAGCGAAGCTTCCATTTAACTTCCAGAGTTAAACTTGCAGTCTTAGGAAGAGAGTGGTTCCAGAGCTTTTTGATGTACTAAGCTTCACATATGTTATTTAAGATTATTTTTTCTTGCCAGGCAGTGGTGGTACACGCCTTTAATGCCAGCACTTGGGAGGCAGAGCCAGGTGGATCTCTGTGAGTTTGTGACCAGCCTGGTCTACAAGAGCTAGTTCTAGGACAGCCTCCAAAGCCACAGAGAAAATCTGTCTCAAAAAACCAAAAAAAAAAAAAAAACAAAAAACAGGGAGAGATTATTTTGTCTTATGATACAGAAAGACTTGGAAGTACACTTCTCCCTGTCTATAGACAGAAGAGGTGGATTTCCTTCCAAGCTCCCTCCTGCTCACCATTTCATGGCTCAAGTCCTTTTTATCTAATGGTCAGTATCGTCTATATGCAGAAGCACATCAACCATGAATGGTGAAACTATACCATTTGGATGCAAAAGATTTACCTTTCAATCTTCCCAAACCTCTAGCATATAACTGGAGGAAATTAGGCAGTGTACAGTCTGGGCTTCTGCTCTCTAAGGGAAGAAGACATGAAAGATGAAAAGAGATGAACTTATATAAATTTGATCTTAAAGTCACAGTTTAACAGAACCTGGGATAAGCAGTAATGTGCTGTAGAACTTTAAAGGTTGAAAGAAATAGGTAAATTCCAAATCATCATCTAGTCACCTTGGAATGTCTTGACAAATAAATGCAATTGTACATAAGGAAAGATATCCAGCATCAGTATTTATTCCTTGAAACACATGCTATAAAACATATCTTCCTAATAGTGAAATTGATACTATATTTACTATTGAGACAAGGGGATGCAAGCATTCTGTACACTGTAGTTTGTTTACATAAAGCACCTCTCAAGTTTTACTTAAGTTATTAATTGTTTTAGTTAACAGAGATAAAAATAGCAGGTACACTCTAAACAGAAGGTTAGCTTCATGAAATGTGAGTTCATTCAAATGATAAACTCAAAGTAAGGTTCAGACTAACTTATCATGTCTCAATTGGCACCCAGGTGAAACCACAAACCTTTAACCTTGAACCATTTGAAAGTGGAAAAGTTCAAAGAAGCTTGGAAGTACCCACACCTGGACTCACTGACATTGGGGTAAGCTGCAGTTCCTGTTTGGGTTCATGTTGAAACTTTTAGGTCACTTTAGCTGATGATGAATAGAAGTTAGGTGAGGCTAGATAGAACTGGAAGGTATTCGTGGAATGTCTTTGTCTTTTCTTTTTATTTCTTGAAACTCATGTGGAGATGAAGAGAAGAACGCTATATGAAGAGAACTTTCAGTGATGTGTGTGGAAAGAGCCAAAGAGGAACAGGAGAGGAAGTCATAGCCTTTGGGTTGGTAAAAACACTTGTCACTTTTGTTTCTGAGATACCAGGGCTTGAACCCAGGACTTTGAACATACTAGGTGGTCATTCTGCCATAGAGCAAAACCTCCAGTCCACTAAACACTTTTCAGCGAGAACATGGATAAAAAATCACCAGCTAACATCTCAAGGACACTTAATCAGTCCAGGCCCTGTGCTAAGCTGCACATCCAGACAGATAGATGCCAGGAAAACATTGCAATTTCCACTCTTCAGGTGAAGATGATGAAGCACGGGGATGCTATACAAGTTGCTCAAGGTCACACTGCTTATAAACATGACCTGTTCCAGCACGTCTCATTTTGTCTCTCACTGCTTATGTCAAGTATGTCTAATCCTGGACTGCTTGTCAAGAGAAAATGTAATTACGTTGTTGGAGAAATGAATTGCTATAGACTATGCATGGGAGTGAACGTCCCCTTTCTGGATAACTAAACGCAACAGGAAGCACTGACAGCATTTCCCAGGGGAAAAAAAAAGTATATCTTGTCTTCTGATGCCACAGGCCAGAAGGAAGGGGCTTCTTAGTCCTCCCATGCGTCATCTCTGATCTTCCATATGGCAAGTTGGATTAGATATATGATGATAGAGAGAGGGAGGGAGAGGGGGGATTGAGAAATAGAATGGAATTTAAAGAAAAGGTCTTGGCAAGACATTGACTTGGAAGCAAAGATCAAAAGAAGAGAAAGAGCAGTCTCCCTCCAAGAAATGGTTAACGGGCACTCTGGAGATACTCTGCAGAAAATGTGACTAGGGAAGTTTTGAAGAAGCAAGAAGGAAGCCTGAGAGGAAAAGAAAGAAAGAGAGAGAGAGAGAGGGAGGGAGGGAGGGAGGAAGGGAGGAGAAGGAAGGAAGGAAGGAAGGAAGGAAGGAAGGAAAAGCATTCTGAGATTTGGTCACTGCCTTGAAAAACTCACAAAGAAAGCTGCAGGTTTTTTTTTTCTTTTTTCTATTGAATTCTAAGCTAAAAATTTCCCAGTGTAAAGAAATTTTTGTTCCCTGTGCTGCATAAGTTGCAGCACAAAGGTGGTCTACCAAATGTGTTATATGACATGCTTTTAATTGATTAGTAATATAGGAAGTGTCCTTATGTCTTTATGTCCTATATCCTTTATCTCTTTTAATGCCACACTGAATTTGCAATGTGTATGTAATTATCTTTGCTTGGTAGAGGACTCAGAGAAGTTCCATAGCCTACTCTCCAGTGGACAGCCTAAATTAGTAAAGAGTCCTTCCCAGTCGTTTTCCAAAACATCTCACTGTTTTCCTCATACAATGTGAGAGGCACAATTTTAACCTAAAAATGATGTCACAGAACAACTAGTTTGGGCCAAGGTCATGATGGTGCACACTAGTAACAACATATTATGCTGGGCTGAAGTTCAGTCTTGCTGGAAACCTCCCTGGTCTCCTGCAGGTACTGTTCTGTCTGCACAGCTCACCCAAAACTGCTCATGTAGATAAAACACACTTCTACCCACTAGGATGGGGGACCAAGTGAGAGGGGTTGAACATAAAAAAATCAAGTGGAACTCTGTGAAGAGGTTCTCACACATCCATGTCTCTGCCTGGCGGTTTCCAGGGACCTTAGTGCTGATGAAAACACTGAATTAACACTCTGAACTGTCCTCTGTCAGTTGAGAAAAGTTCCAGATTCCTTAAAAAGCACGCAAAGCTTCTATCTGGAAAGGGGTAACAGCATTTGGGACCAATTACCTAGATTAGGAGGCCACAGAGATCTGTTTACACTTTGTAGCCCAGGGCTCTTGGCTCTGGTCCACAAGCTGGAGAGTGTAAACGACAGGAATTTCAGGCTAACATTGACTTCCCTCTTGACCTGTGTGTCTTAACCAGAGAAAAGCAGGTAGAAGGCCCTGTTGTCACTTGCCTGAGAGCAGCAAGTAGCATACAGAACATGGTCTTCCAGGTAGAGGAGTTGACATGGAGGTCCCCTGTGGTGAAGACATGGGTTTTCATCACTCAAGCAGAATCTGACTGTGAGTATCGTGCCTTTCAGCCTGATGCTCCCCAGAAATTATCTTTGTAAAAGAAATTAGGAGTAACAGTTCCCTGCCAGTTTTGCTTCATTACTCCAACACTTGGATTTAACTTTTTTTTTTTAATACCTTACAGGTTAGTCAGTGGTCACGGGTTATCACCATGAAAATTGTGCCAATGAGAGTGAGTGTGCTTAGAATCAGGTGTTGGCAAATACAGAGATTTTATTAATTTATTAATTATTATTATCATTATTGAGACAAGGTCTCATTATGTGGCACTGGCTGACCTGGAACTTGCTATGTAGAATAGGTAGACTTTGAACTCACAGAGACCTGTCTGCCTCTGCCTCCCAATGCCCAGACTGAAAGTGAACACCACTACGCTTAGCAAATACAGGTATTTTGACCAAAATAGAATTATCTAGAACATTTGGTCTAAATTCTGAAGCTGACAAAAGTTTAAACTATATGAGATTGAGATGCAGGTCCCTCCCTCTGCAGAGGACAAAATGTACTCATTTTCCAGAACTTTGGTAATTTCAAAATTGTTTGAAGGTACTTAGCTTTCCTTAGAGTAATCCTGAGGCTAGTGACTCCATCTTGCTTGTTGAAATGTTCACAGGGGTGAAGAAGCATAAAGAATGAGAGGTATCCATCCCAGGAGAGCTGGCCTGCTACATTTGGTTGAGGAGACAGGCACAGTTTCACTGTGGTCAGAATGTGTGTGTGCTTGATTTTAAGCCAGACCACACTAAATGCCACTGGTAGACTAGTAAATTGAAAATAACCACAGTAGGGGATGAGTTCTTCTTTTTAAAGTGCTCTCTCTCTTTTTCTTTTTAAAAACCAGCAGCTTTTCTGATATTTTAAACATTTGTTTTGTGTTCCAGGCATGGTGGTGTACACCATCAATTCCAGCATTCAGGAGGCAGAGGCAGAGGCAGGCAGATCTGTGATTTCACAGCCTGTCTCAGCTACCCAGCAAGTTCCAGGCTAGCCATTA